CCTCATGAGTAGCTGGGATTACAGGCATGTGCTACCATGCCCAGCTAATTTTTTTTTTTTTTTTTTTCCGTTGCCCAGGCTGGAGTGCAGTGGCACACTCACGGCCACCCCAGCATCGACCTCCTGGGCTCAGGCGATCCTTCTACTTCAACCTTCCAAGTAGCTGGAACTACAAGCGTGCTCTACTGTGCCCAGCTAATTTTTTATTTGTTGTAGAGATGAGGTCTTGTCAATTTGTCCAGGCTGGTCTCAAACCCACGGGCTCAGGCAATCCACTCACCTCAGCCTCCCAAAATGCTGGGATTACAGGCTGAGCCGCCAAGCCCGGCCTTCGGCTAATTTTTAAAATTTTTTTGTAGAGACGAGGTCTCCCTATGCTTCCCAGGTTGAAAAGTCACTTTTAGCAATCTGTTCCAACAATCTGGGCAAGCAAAGATGGGGACCTGAACTTATATTTCTCAGATGTGAATGTACAGAGATCTTTCTCAGTCCTTGCCCTGATGGGCTGGATGAATACATGGAGTAATCTACTTTAAGACAAGCAGAAGAAGCTGTTCCTTGGTCTTCTGCTAAGAGACAGTTAACCATTTAACCTCTGTACATGTGTTCTCCTGTCTCTTGTCACACATGGGAGGTTGTAATTGCATTGAGGACAGAGAGCAAATTTTGGGTGCATTTTGGTCAAGAGGACAGTACTTGCTACATCGGTGGACATATCACAGGTGCATCAAACACACTAACTGACTGAATTGACAACTCCACTTATTTTAGGGTGAAGAAGTTTAGCAGGCAGAGAAATAGTCGTTAGCTCCATGTAAGTGTTGTGCATGTTCCCGGCAAGTAAACAGAGTCACAGGGAAAACATCTCCGCTCCTGTGCTTCCTGGCTCAAGAATTGAGTGTCTGCACCACTGGGGTGAACTCCAAGATTACCTGCTGCTTAATTCCCTGCAGACAAAGGGGAAGTTCATGAAGACAGTGGCCATGTTCGCATTTTTCTTCCTCTTCTCCCAAGAATACTCCTGGTCTTTTTTTTTGAGTCAGCGTCTCACTCTGTTGCCCAGGCTGGAGTGCACTGCAGCCTCGACCCGCTGGGCTCAGGCAATCCTACAACCCTTCCATCTCAGCCTCCCAAGCAGTGGGAACCACAGGAGTATGCCACCACGTCCAGCTAATTTATTTGTTTTTTTTGTAGAGACAGAGTCTTGCCATGTTGCCTAGGCTGGTCTTAAACCCCTGGACTCAGGCAGTCCTCTCACCTCGGCCTCTCAAAGTACTGGGATCACAAGGTGTGAGCCACCATGCCCAGCCCCTCTCTGCCTTTTATCCCTTCCAGAACTGCCACCTGCTCTCATGTCTGAGATCTTCCCACAGGACTGGCGACACCATGGGGCTCTGTCCCCTCAGCTACCTTCTTCTTGCTGTCTCTGAAAAGGAAGTCTCTAACCTTTCTGGTTTAAAGGCTTCACTATTAAACACCACAGAAACAGAATAAGCAACAACCATCAAGCAGGGCTGTTACTAGGATGACTCCCAGACTCTCAACTTTCTCTACAGCTTTCTCTACCACCTACAGCAGTCTGTTGGTGACTCCCCACTTCCTGAGAGTGAATTTCACCAGGTCCCTTCCCTTCCCCCCACCATCCCTCCTCTCCCGCTTGGGCGTTCCACTTCCTGCCTAGGAGTTTGAGGGCACAATTAATAGTTGAACAATTAATGAGTGAGTCACCATCCACGTGTTTAAAGTTCCTGGTGGTCAGGGCATTCCAGAAAGGTGAGTGCCTTTCAGTGTTTTCCTTTCTCTACCCAGGAAAAACATTACCTTGGGCTCTCCCTCAGAATTACTCATGAACCACATCTTCTTAAAAATCCTGGAAAAAAAAAGAAAAAAATCTGATGAAGTGTGGTCCACGATATGCCTTATTTTTAGCTATTCACTGAGACAGTACAGACAGGCAACTCCAGTTGCTAGTCTGAAAAGACTAGGACATCAGGGCTGTACTGGCTTGTGCCAGAGGCCATGATGGTAACTTCTAGAAGCAAAGGCACAGTCCATGGAGAAAGACAAAAGCTGTCCTGTCCCCACGGGAGTACCTCCTAGTTCCCATGTGGCATCTTCATTTGATTAACCCCACCTGTCCATCCCCAGAACCGTTGTCTTCTGTGGTGCTTGTACTCCCAAGGCTCCTTGTCAAAGCTGGGGGTTAGAAATAAGGCTCATTCACACCTGCTTGGGGCGTGGGAAAACAGCTGCTGGCAGAGTGATAGCAGGCCTTGTCTGCTGCTCGTGGGAACACAGCTGTTGTCCTTTTCTCCCTTTTGCTTGTCTGCATATCTGATTTTTCTACCAAAAAAACACCTATTGTTTTATAATACAAAAAAAAACCACTTAAGTTTGTATTGCTGTTCAGAAGTATCTCCCACTGTTTCCTTTTCTTTTGTTTTGTTTTGTTTTTTGAGACAGGGTCTTACTCTGTCATCCAGGCTGGAGTGCAGTGGCCTGACCACAGATCCCTGCAGCCTCACCTCCCGAGTTCAGGTGATCCTTCTGCCTCAGCATCCTGAGTAGCTGGGACTACAAGTGTGCACCACTAGGCCCAGCTAATTTTTGCAGAGATGAGTTCTCACGATGTTGCCCAGACTGGTCTTGAACTCCTAAACTCAAGCAATCCTCCCACCTTGACCTCCCCAAAGTGCTGGGGCTACAGTGTGAACCACCATGCCTAGTCTTGTTTGTCTGTTACTAAAAGTGAAAATCGAAAAGACCATGGACTGGGTTGGGGTGGGATAGATTTGCAGATACCAGCATACAGCTAGGTAAAAGTATAAACTCTATTGTTTTACAGCAGAGAAGAGTGACTATGGTTAGCAACAATGTATCATATATTTCAAAATAGCGGGAAGAAAGGACTTGAAGTGTTCCAAGTACAAAGAAACGATAAATACTCCAAGTGATGGATACCCCAAATGCTCAGACTTGATCATTATACATTATATGCGTGTAACAAAATATCACATGGACTCCATAAAAATATAAGATCTCATGTATCAATAATAAAATAAAATCTTAGCTCTTCTGCTTATTCTACACAATTCACTTAACCTCTTGAACCGGACTATCTTCATTTGTAAAAGGAATCTGGTCTCTTCTTCACAGAAGGGTGAGGAATATTTAAGGTGCTCATTTAAGCATATTGTGCGTGTTCAATAAATATTTGGTGTGTTTCTTCTTTCTTCCTCACTCTAACCCTGAGATTTCTAAGTATCTTTGTGGAACAACCAGTACACGTTTCGTGGAATCTTTAGAAGGCAACTCAGGCCGGGCTGGGTGGCTCAGCCTGTAATCCCACGCCTTTGGGAGGCTGAGGTGAGTGGATTGCCTGAGCCCGCGGGTTCAAGACCCGCCTAGGCAACTTAGCGAGACCTCATCTCTACAATAAATCAAAAATTAACCGGGCATGGTGCGCGCACCTGTACTCCAGCTACTTGGAAGGCTGAGGTGGAAGGATCACGGGAGCCCAGCTGGTCAAGGCTGCGGTGGCCGGGAGTGGCCACTGCACTCCAGTCTGGGCG